GATATTTCTAGTTTTACTTGTTAAGACTCATCTTTTAAGTCTTGTTTAGTTAAAAATCACAGGCACGTATTGTTTAATCTATAATTAATATCTTATTAATCCATTGTGATGGAATCAATAATAAAGGAAGCAGCAAATGGAGAAAAGATGAAATTGGGGTCCTTGTGCTTTCAAATTGAAATTTACCCATTTAGCAGGAAGTCAATCAAATTGTAATTCCAGGCACCACGTTCCAGTGGACACTTGCGTGAATGGACTCACTGCTGGAATGCTCAGGGCAGGGGGAGAGGATCAAGGACCTCAATTTGATTTAATTTAACTTTTTTTCCTGGAGAAGCCCAAGGGTGGGTGCTAGTGCATCCTCCCCCTGCCTAAGGAGTGGTTGTAGAAAGCCAGGGGCCAGGCTGTGCCAGAGGCTCACACTCTGGCACAAGCAGCTGTAGAAATTGCAGTGAAGAATTGTATCTGTACAAATGAGAAAACTGTTCACTGCTTGAGGGTGTTATTAGAGGAAATGAGTTGCCCAATTCCATGTTTGGAAGGCTTCAAAATTTGGAGAGACAGGGCTCTGAGCAAGCTGGTCTAACTGGGAGTTACCCTGCCTTGAGCAGGAGATTGGGCTGGACACTTTCAGAGGTCCCTTCCAAACTCAGTTTTTCTCTGGTTGTGTCTGAAAGATGTAAAAACTCAATTTTTGCTTGACTTTCAAAAAATAATTACTTCAAAAGTGGGCTTGGGAGTGTGCACTGTAGGTGATAAAGTGTCAGTGTGCACATCTTCTGCCAGAAGTATAAATAAATGAATTGGCTGTGAGAGTTATTTTTACTGGAATAAGGGGAAAGTTTGGGAAGTAGATCACAAGTAGGTAGGTAAGAGGAATTAGAAAATGAATTTGTTTCAAATCTCCCTTCCATGGAAAGAAGACCATAGCCAAAAGTATGGTAATTTCCATGGTTTTTTGTTAGTTCACTGATCAAAATAGCAGAAGGAAGTACAAATAGTATCATCTTAGGCTGCTGTACTGTCAGAGGAAAGTGGAAAAGCTGCGTTTGGTGGTGCAGATGTTGGTGATGACCTCTGCTTCCTTTGTGGGGAGTTAGCACTGCCCGTGTTCACCTTGAAAGGATCTGAAGTCAAAAATCGACACAAGCAATCTCCCAGATGCTGACTGCGTTCTTTTTTGAGTCTTGGCTTTTTAATGTGAAAAGTTGAAGCTGTCCTTGGCTCTCAGTAAATCAACAAGAGTTCAAAACCAGGCATCTTGTTATTCTTTCAGATTAGTTTAACTCTCAGGGGATCTTTAAGTTAACGGGGGTTCAGTATCACAGTCAGTGTGAAGGAATTGAGCTGTGCACTTGTAACTACCCTGACTTGAGGGGTTATCACTGCTCAACCCTTATCATCTATTTGAATGTAAAATCTGGAGGTGCTGATAAAAGAACCTGCTGATCAAAGTGGCATGGCAGCTTCTCTCTGATTTTGGTCCTGATTCTCAGAAGGCAATTAAACTGGAATAATTCAAAGGATACTGAAACACTTGGTATCGCAGCAGGGTTTGTGTACAGGGAAGAAATCAAATTCTTCTGCTGTGTTTTGGTTTCCCAGATAAAGACAGGATGAAATTCCTCCTTCCCAGTCAGATGGTATTTTCACACAGGCAGAACTACAAGTGTGTCATCAGCTTTTCCCTGCAGTATGGACAGAACTGCTGAGGGAAAGCGAGAAAATACTGGAAATACAGATGTGACAAAACTGGACTTGGCATATTTTTACCCTGAGACACCTCTCTGGCACCCTAAACTGCAAAGTTCCTAAACTGTGTAGCAGTCCTGCCTGGATCAGCATCGCTGTGTTTGCCTGGGAGCTGCAGATACAGATGAGTTATCTGTGGAATAGTTTGAAGTGATGTGGTGCTTGGTGTCTGTTTTCCAGTAGTCAGCCCACAATGAGCTTTTTTTTTAATTTAAAGAAGAGTAATTGAGGTTATGAGCTACATTTCAGTTGTGACACCTCCTCTGTAGTTCCCTGGGTCATGCAGTGGCTCCGTTCTGATGCTCACCTGTAGTTGTCATCAATAAATATTCAAAACTGCTTTATTTCTTTGGGATTTTTTTGTAAGTGGATTGTCTAGATGAGTTTCTCCTCCAGCAAGCCATGCTGTGGTAGTGTATTGTGAAACTATTGTAAGCTTTTGAACAGTGAGTAAAACCCAGTTCAGCTTGTTGAGGACTAAATGTTTTGATGAGGTCTCTCCTTGTGGGTGTTTCTGTGGTTTTTGTTTAGTTCATTGTATAACTAAAGAATATGCCAAAACCAACTTGATTCTGATCAAATTAGAACATGTTCTGTACTTTGAGTTTGGATGTAAATATAATACATTTGCATAACTGCAATTTATTCAGGAACTCTCTTGGTTAGTATACACTCTTTATTCTGCTTTTTGGCTGAATTCCAGCTATAAAAATATCCTTCCATTTAAAAAACTGTTTGCAAATATGAATCAATTGACAGATGTGGTCTTTTGATAATATTCAGGTGTTTATTGCTCTTACCAGACAGGGATTTGTAGGTACATTGTATTTCCTTACTTACACTGGCCTTTGAGGCATGGGAAATGTAAACTGCACTGGGGTTGCCTCTGGGTTTGCCAATTTGTTTGACATGTGTAGAACCTCTGGAGTCCCCTGGTTGGTCAAAGCTCCTGTGTTTGGAGCTGCTTTTTGTGGGTTTTTTCCCAGAATTGATGAACATTTGCGAGCCCCGTGTCTGTGCTGTTGCCTTGTTTGCCAGAGGTGCCCACAGGGAGATGATGCCTTCAGGGCTGCAGGAGGGTAAAGGGGAGATCTTTTAATGTGTGTGCCTACATGGAATATCAAAGGAGCTGCTGAGTATTCCTTTTCTGCCTTTCCATGTTGCTGAAGTTGTGGAGATCCACCTCTTCCCCATCCTCACCTGGTGTGGCACAGGAGGGCTCCAGTTCCTCTGTGCTGTGCACTGGGGTGGTTTTTTACCAGGCAATAAGGACTGTAACCAGGGAATTAGCACCTAAAGCCATGTCCAGTTCTTCCCTTGAGTTGAAATAAATTCGGTCTTGCAGGCATTTAAGGTAAATTTGCAGGTATGGAATAGGCTCATGAAATGCACAGGGAAGGTGAAATGCATATATGCATATGTATGGAATAGCCTCATGAAATGCATAGGTGTGTGTTTGTGTCAAACAGATGTTGTTGTTCACTTTCTCACAGGGATTTTTACTTAATCTTTAGCTGTCTTTGCATACACTTGAGTGTTGTTTTTATTGCTGCTTAAAAGAAATGCTTGAAAAATATTTTTATTAGCTAAACAACCAAGACCCCTTTCCATTGTCGCTAAAACGATACAAGCACAAAATACTTTCTACTGGAAAAAGCAAAGAAATGAGTTCTTAGTGAATCTATTAAAAAAACCCAACCCAGAAATTGGTCCATTTAACTTCCTTGCTGAAATGCTTGTGCAGTTTTTTGGCATAGATTCTGTTCCTAATTTAGTACATTGAGCATGTTTCAGAAATAGGTCGTCTGTTAAATGCGGACGCGGTCCGTACTCAGAAGTAAGAAGAGAGAAAAGGAAGGTCACTGTCAATTCTTTCTCTTTTTCCTGATCCTTGAATGTGGATTGGAAGGAAAAAGAACCACTGTGGTGCATGTGGCAGGGGACATAGTGAAAATCAAATGCTGCCTTTGTTCTATAAACATCCTCCGATTCATTTTAAGATATGAAAGCCAAAACACAGGAGAGTTCATTTCTAAGGCTACTCCGCAGCTGAGTGTTCCTGCCAATTCTTACATCACTTTCATGTTTAATATATTTTTCCAGAGAAATGATCACTTTTATTTACAGTCTGCATTTTGCATTCATAGCTCATTTGTTACCCCTTGTTCCAGCATATGCTTGTCTCCTTTTTGTATAAAACTAGATCTGCCTAGAAGCACTTAAAAGCAAAACAAACCCAAAGCCCAACATTTTGTGAGGTTTGTTTCTGGGTGTAGTGTCATTGGAAAGTCCTTTTCATCATGTGGGAGGTGTGTAAATGTCATCGTGGGTTTAGTGCTCAGTGTAGTCTAACAACTTAAGGATGAGGAGGTAGTAAAGTTATTTGAACTGTATTTTTATAGATGCTTTTGTGGAGACAAAATTAAGTTTCTTATTTGCTCAAGATTAAGCAAATTTATTTACTGAGAAATTAGAAACAAGCCTGTCCTGTTTAATTTGGTTCATTTCTAAATGCTGTGCACAGGGATGTAGAAAAGGGATTATCCTATGGTACATTATTGCATTTTATTTTTCAAAGTTGTAAACATTGTTAATTTATTGTTTTTCATTAAATTTAGGCATGTCATCCTTGGTAATACATGAAAATAGGTAGTTTACTGAAACTGGGTCTTAAATACAGCTCTGAAAAAAGGTGTTTGAATGTAGTACTAAAGCAGCAGTATACTCTGTAAAGGAACAGAATTGGAATAGATGTATGTTTAATTTAATAGGTATTCTAAGAGAAAAGAACCCAAATGTCTTAGACCAGTCTGTGAAACTGGTTAGACCTCAAATTGGCCAACGTTCATGCTTTGATTAATTCTGCTATCATGGACCAACTTGCTCATTTGCTGAAGCCATTCCTTGGCATCATAAAATAATGAGGTTTTGTTTTTAAAATAGCTCTGCTTTGGGGCTGCTGCAAGATCAGGATGAACCTCAAGAAATTTAGAGACAATGCACAAACTGCCCTTGTTAGAAAAAATTGCATTTCCTTGTATTCCTTAACAAATGTCAGTTGCTTACCTGGGGATCTTTTTCTTGATTTCCCTGTATGATCTGTAAAATGAAGATGGTCGTGGGTAATTATAAATATATATATATATAAATTATAAACGAGCTTAGGTGATAGCATGCTAGTTATTCAGAAAGTCTTACATTCTGTAAACAAGTGCTCATATATTTGTTTGTTTATTTTTATTTTTCAGCTGTACTTTCAGGTTTCCCAGCACAAACATCAAGATAACATTCACAGCTCTGTCCAATGAAAAGAGAGAAAAACAGGAGGCCCCGGAGTCCCCAGTGAAGCCTGTGCAACCCCAGATCTCTCCCTTAACAATAAACATTCCAGACAACATGGCTCACCTGATCAGCCCCCTCCCTTCTCCCACGGGAACCATCAGGTATTTAAACCCTGCAGGTGGGATCAGGGCCATGTACAGTCAGCCTCAGCACAACTTTCTCATTCAGGATTTTGCTTTTGAGGTCAAAATTCAGCTGAAGCTCAGCCTTACCTGCCTCCAGAAACGCCCTTTCTGCTGACATAGTTCTGCATGAACATTAACATGTTCAATGTGTAACATTCTGCTCAAGAACCTGGCATTTTTCTTGCTTTTCAACAATTTAAATTGCTTTTTGCTCTTGCATGCTTATGGCAACGCTTCAGATGAGACAATTTTCAATGACACCATTTTAAAATGTCCTGATTTGCCACTGTCCTCATCAGGAAAAATGGTGGTTTGGGTTATTTTTGGAAATAGTGGAAAATGGACTGATCTCTTTCTCCAGAAGATTTGTTATTGGTTAGTCACTGCTGGAAGGGAGCAGACCTTTTTCTGAAAGCACAGGCTGAGGTGCAGAGCTCAGTGTCAGGGTGGCTGATCCAGGATTTTCCTTGCCCTGCTGCTTCTTTGGTAATTGCAGCCCTTGTCCCACCTGTTACTTGGGACCAAACTCAATTAACACAAGCAACCCATCCTCACAAATGACTTCAGATGGAATTATTCAAGTCTTGGAAAGATCAGGAGCAAAACTTCCATGTCAAGGCCCTGAAAGTTGTTTCAGTCATGTTCATGGTTTTGAAAGCTTCTTTGTCCCCTCTCACTTCCTGTGTCTTCACCTGAGTAAAGAACTGGCCATGCTTGCTTTTAAAAAGGTATAACTTGTTAATGAGATTTGAATGGGAGGGTAATTGACTTCTTGCATGTTTGCCAAGCTCCTGGTCTCTGTCTGGGGGTGTTTAATGACACCTGCTGAAATGATGGAAGCAGAGAGAAATGATACCTAGGCTTGTCTGGTAACAGGTTTGCTTTCTTATGAGAATTCAGGGAAAACACATCTTGCCAATGACAGAGCAGCTCACAAATATTTCAGATATTATCCCATCTATCACCACTGGCTTTGCCTCACTATGAATTTTGTAATTCTCTTCAGGGCTTTCATGCACCTGTTGAGTAGTTTATTACAGAAAAAAGAAAAAAAGATGACAGTTTGGAGTCTATTTTGAGAGCAGAGCCTGACAGTTTCTCTGTAAATCATCCTGTTTTGTAGAAGACTTGTAGACTTGCTTTGATTATACCATATGTGTCTCTTTGTCAATATATGCTGAAGTGAGCAGAGCAGAGGGATGTTGTCAGCTGATACGTGCAAACACAGAGCAGGAGTGACCTATATCTAAAAAAATAAATTGGCTACACATTTGGGCTCTAACCAAGGATTCTTCTGTACAACACTTAACAATTGCCATCTCTCTCTTATAGTAAGTATATCACTTGTAACAAATCATGGGTGGATTTTTTGGGAAGTGAAGCTTTGATGCTTTCAGTGTGAGTATATATTGCCCAATCTATAGATTTGCCTCCTTCTGTACATAAAAAAGGAGGTAGCAAAAAACTGGAGAGGCCAGGCAGACAAACAAACCTTGACAGATGAAAATTATTAAAGCTTTAGTGTATAGATATAAATAACATTGTCTAGATTTATTTGTTGTTGATGTTTTGAACCATAGATTCAAAGATTAAAGATTATCTTTAGAGATAAGGCTGCTTCTGGGGGCACAGCCAGGTGCAGCTATTAAGATTTCTAGTTTTTTTGGAATTTCTGCCTTGAAATCAGCTGCAGTATGAATTGCAGAGAGTGTGTCCTTGCAAGAGAGCTGCCAGAATTATTTTGGGGAAGGGGATGGACCTCACCTGCTGACTTTCTCTTTCCTCTTGGCTAAAAGGAAATCGTAGAAGAAAATTGGCATCGTGCAGCTGCAGTTCCTGTGGACTCTGCAGGGCAGGGGACCACTGGTAGAAAGATGTTCCAGTGGAATTATGTCCAGTTTTACCTGGTTTTCTGGGATGGATGGCAAAATGTGAAGTGTTAGGAGATGCTCTTTAGTGTTTGGCACCATCTCTTGCTTTCTAACAGTGTATCTGCTCTGTTGGCCCAGTACTGCATTCAGTCAGCTGAGTCAGTGCTGATACATCTCATTTACAGATAAATTTATGATTTTTATACACATACCTATGTAAGTATGTGCACACACCTGCAAACACTTAAAATAATACTGGTTTCACTTTAAATGAGAATCAAACCTTTTTTTACCTCGCTGCTTGCTATATTTCCCCAAATGTGCAAAAGCACTACACAGGAGAGATGATTATTTTGGGGGCAGACTGAACACAAGCATATGGCAGAAATTCCATGCAAGATCTGTTTCTTGTTCCCAACAAGTGTCTGAAAATCTGTGGTTGCTGATGCAGTTAAGGTGGACTTAGGGGGCAAATCTTACCCAAATATATTGCAGCCTGACAAGCAGATGATGGTTGAGGAGGAAAGCCTGAGTGAGGTTTCTTCCTGCAGTGGTTCTGATCCCATGGCTGGCTTAGCAAGGCGTGGAAGGTGCTTTGGAATGGAAGCCCTGGCAGCCCTTTAGCTGCAGCCTCACAGCTCTGGTAGTGGCTTTGCTGCACTAAGAGCTTTTTGATGAGACATAATGTGGTGATATACTGTATAACAAAATAGTAGGATCTTCTTTTTATGCTCTACAGTGCTGCAAATTCCTGCCCATCGAGCCCCCGCGGCGCAGGCTCTTCAGGGTACAAAATGAGTCGTGGAATAGCATCTGACCTACATTTGATGGCTGACAATTCCCAGTCAGAAAACGACAAGGAAGCTTCGGGGGGAGACAGCCCAAAGGTAAACACAGCTTGAAACCAATCCCAGACATTGCACCCCAACTGAGTGGAAGGCTTGGGATGTTTTGTTTGCTGAGGTGTGTGCACTGAGTGGTAATTTAACGTGCCAGGTTTAAAAACAGTGTGTAGGGGTTTGTGATCAGATGTGAAATTGATTGATTGACTGATTGATTGACTGATTGATTAGCCCCTGTTCCCTTTGGGGGAGGGTCTCTGTGCAGTCTCAGTTACAGATCTGTTTGGAGGCTGTTGAAAATTCTTTGCTGTTATACATACCTGCAAAATTTATGTTACCCTAAAATTGCTGATCAGAAAAAGTTTTCTTGGTTTCTTTGGTGCCTCAAGATTTTGGTTGTCGAAAAGTCCCCTAAGTCAAGTTAATGATGTTTTATGACTTTTGATCTACTGTATCTCTTCAGTTTGTTGATGCAGACTTCTCTTGTTTTTGTCCAGGATGACTCTAAGCCACCCTACTCCTATGCACAGTTAATAGTCCAAGCAATTACAATGGCCCCGGATAAGCAGCTTACACTAAATGGAATTTATACGCACATAACTAAAAATTATCCCTACTACAGGACAGCAGACAAGGGCTGGCAGGTAATTCTGATTTCTGGAATTTTTTTTCTTTACATGTGAGCAATACTGGCAGCTGTAAGTGGTCATGAGCAGGCAGTTGGTAAGCCTCATAACCCTTCAGATACAGAATTTGGCAAATGAGTGTGTTGTCTTTCCTCTGATACTAAGTTTTCCAACAAAGTGGGCAATTTACATTAGTCTGTATTTTAAATACTGCTTTATTGATGGAATGGTGTTCTCTAAACCTCTAGTAGGGAGGCAGGCAGACTTTGGGGAAAGCACAGTGCATTTGGCACTGGGTTTGAATCCTGTATGCTGTCTAGGAAAGGTGTCATGTTCTGTAACCTACAGTTGTGTAAACATCCGAGATAAAATTGAGATAGTAAATACTCCAAGTTTAGTTCTGCTTGAGAACAGTGATCCTGCCCATGCAGCAGGTGAAGGAACAAGTGTGTTATCTGTCATTATCTCACCCTGGTTCATGCACTGTTTGATTTGTGAACTTGCCCATTCCTGTACCAAACCTCTCAGCTCTGCAGAATTCATTTCTGCTTTCTTTTCATTTTCACAAGACCAACCTCAGCTTTTGCCAGGATGACTAACCAAGTACAAATCAGTCTGGCAGAGCCTTCCCAGGCACATGTGAAGGCTGCTTTGGTGCTGTTTTGGGTGTCTCAGAAGCCAAGGAGCCCAGTTTGCAGGGCCTGGAACACCTGGAGCACATGGTGCATCCTGGGCTATCTGATCCCTCTGCAGTTATTGTCAGGGAGGTGAAATTTAGGGAGATTGGGTGAGAGGGAAAGTGAGGAAGTGTTAACATCGGCTGCAGAAGTGGAAGACTGAAGAATTCAATCCTTCCCTGTAGAGGAGGAGATTTTAAAATATTAATCACATACTTATTTGTCATACAGCCTAAATGAAAGCTGGGTCACTCTGCCAAGGTTAGTGGGGAACGTGGCTGTTCCTGGCTGTTTGCTGAGGGTTTGGTTAGTCAAGGACTTGGCTGTTGTGGCTGGGAAGTCTCTTTTGTTTCCCTTTCCCACATAACAGTGCAGTATCCTGGCTGCAGTCATGTTGTTTTAGCAACAAGACTCTGTTTATAAAATGTTGATGTGTGTTTTGCTTCCTATTTTGCAGTACCTTGAGTGTCTGTGTAGATGATGTTGCATCATGAACCCAACACACACACACAGAGTTATGCTGAGCTGAAGAGCTCTGCCCTAGAGCAGGGTGTGGATTTGGGGCTGTAATGCTTCCTAAAGCCAAGGGGATGGCACAGCAGACAGCATGTTCTGGAGTCACTAATCAGCAGCCATGCATAGAAACAACTGGAAAAGCTGAAAATCAGATGCTGTTCAGTCACTGCTCTGCCAGCTTCTACACTTTGGAGTTGGATTGCAGCTCAGGTGACTTAGGACAGATCTTTCAAATCTTATTTGAGGTTATACATGCACATATCATTCAAAACATAGAGTACAAACACATGTACAGTGTCCCAGTCCCACACCTTAAGAAACAGGTATTTATATCCTTTAGCACACAACGGTCTCATTTTGATGAGCATTTGAAGGCTTCTCTCTGTAAACTTATTTTAGCAGGTATTTTTGGATCTACTCCTTTATTCTAGCATATGCAGAAATAAATACAATTTATAAATATGTTCTTGGCATCTTTCTAGTTATGTTTCCATTTTTGGCAGGGAAAAAACCATCTCTGGTTTCATCAGTTTGCATTCAAGAAATCATATGTGGTTATCATCACTGCTTTAAGTTTTCCAAACTTACCATCAGGGTCATGAACTGAGATACTTGAGCGAGTTTTACATTGGCTTTGCAAATTTTTGAGAGCTTTTGTTAACATAAAGTTTTTTCCCATTTACCTCTGTTCCCCCACAAGTGTTTCAGGGTGAAATCTTAGTATCAGTCTCTTCCTGTTCAGTGATAATATTGAGAGAGATTTTGGGGTTTATCTATGTTAAAGAAATAAAATAAAAAGAAATTCTGTGTGCAAAGCCAAGCACAGATAGGGCAGCTTGAGGGTGTCAGCAGTTCTGTGCATTGCTCTGGTGGAGGAGTGGGGGGATGTTGCAGCAAATTGAGGATGTGGGAATGTGAAAGGGACCGTGGTGACAAAGATCTGGAAGAGCTGGTTCAGGACCTGCTGCCACTTGGTGTTTTAATTGCCACAGTAAATTCTTGGCTCTGTTATTGAGACAAACTGGACTGTGGGTGAATTCACAGCACTCCAGCTGCCTTTGGAACTTGTGTAATTTAGTGTTTTCTTTCTGAGCTGTGGGACAGTAACAGAGCTACCACACAGGGTCAGAATCGTGTGTGCTGTGTTCTGCTGGCCCTCCTGGAAGGAGCTGGGACACCTGGGGAAGGGTGGTGTACAAGCACTGATCATTTTTATTTTTGTTTTTAACACTGCATACTGCACAAGTGTTTGTACTGTTCTAAACGTTGGTTTCAATCACCGTGTTTCTCATGAGAGAATGAAATAAATGGGATTCCTGTTATTTCCAATTAGAATACTGGGTTTTTAATTGTTGGGAAAGAGTTGACAAATGCAAGAGTCCTTTCAGGTTTATGGCACTGCTTGGTAGTGCTCTGAGTGCTGTTAAATTAAGGAATTAAAGAGCTGAACCCCGAGTCTCCTATACTACAAACTGCTGCAGTAGGCCACATTCTGACTTGGAAAAGTTATATGAATTCTACATATTTTTTTATGTTCCATAGAATTCAATACGTCACAATCTCTCTCTGAATCGTTATTTCATCAAAGTACCACGTTCCCAGGAAGAACCAGGCAAAGGCTCATTCTGGAGGATAGACCCTGCCTCTGAAAGCAAATTAATAGAGCAGGCTTTTAGGAAAAGGCGGCCTAGGGGAGTACCTTGCTTTAGAACCCCTCTGGGACCACTCTCTTCTAGGTAAGGAAAACCAGATGAACAAAAAGACTATGGCTGTTGTTTAATCTTCAGGCTGCTACAGACTTGGTAGCTTCGGATACAGTCCCAAGTTTAGTAATTTAATTTCATCCAGACTCAGTGTCTGAATTCTGTGTGTTTCATGAGGAGGCTGCCCCGTGCACCAGGCTGGTGTTTATTGCTTGGTTTTAGTGCTAAAGAACTCGGTTTGCACATCTAACTATCAGATTGTTAATGTGTGCAAGCCTTGCTGTACTTTTGATGGGTTTTGCAGAATTATAATTTTAATTTCTAACTGTCATCTACTGGATTTTAAAACTGTTTACACGGAAAATTCTCAGATACCGGCTACCATTTTATTGACCTTAGAGATGACAATTGTGTATTCAGTTTGCTAATGTTGGAGCAGAATTTGTGATGGGGAAATACCTGGGTTTAAATTAATCCCTCTGTAAAGTTATGGCCTTTCTGCTGGTGCAGATCTTTTTCTGCTTGCCCTGTAGCCTCAGATTTGCTCATTGCTCTTCTCCACCAGAAGAAATGTTCATGTTTCACAGATTTAGAGTCTCCCTACAAGGCATCCAGCCACTTCTTCTCCGTTAACTGTACCTGGAGTTTGCTTTTAAATTCTGTCCCTGTTTAACAGAAGCTTTTAAGAGGTGCTGAGCTCTGGGCTGGAGCTGTGCCCTGCCCTGCTGTGGGCACTGTTACGCTCCCACTAGAGGAAGGTCTCGGGCTTTCACAGTTCAGAAGTTAAAACACATCAGCTGCTGCTTTCATTTCTAACTACAGAAGTGCCCCAGCTTCTCCTAATCACTCTGGAGTGCTGTCTGCACACTCCAGTGGCGTCCAGACCCCCGAGAGCCTGTCCAGGGAAGGATCTCCTGTCCCCATGGAGCCTGAGCCCAGCGCCATCCAGCCAAAGCTCGCCGTCATCCAAGAAGCGCGGTTTGCACAGAGTGCCCCAGGTGAGCACCCTGAGCTCAGCACTGGGGCTGGGGGCAGAGGGTGACACCAAAACACTGCCAGGACTTAACAGGTACCCCAAAAATGAGTAATAGTTCACCTCTTCAGAGCAGATCTGTGAGATCAGGAGCAGCCAGGGAGGGCGTGTTTGAACACGTGGGGCTGTTGTTACCTGGGGCTGCTCCTCATCCTTGGGTCACTGTTGCTGAGGAGAGGCTGTGCCTCTGTCCTGTGTAGGACTGTGCTGTCTTGTACCAGTGCTCTTGGAAAAAAACCTGAAAGGTAAGGTTGTGTGTGTTAGAGAAATAAGGAAAGGCCTTTCACACCTCTGTGGTCATGTCATCCTTCCACAGCACGGGGGATAAAAAAATTGAAAGGATGAAGAGAGATAAGAAATGTCCTATTTAAAACAAAAAGAGCATAAGGCATGATGGGATAAGGATGTGTTTGTTTAATTACCTTCTTTGATATACATTTGCCATGCAGTTTCTTGGTGGTGCTGTGGCACTACAGAGGGCAGACACGTTCCTGTGCGTTCCTCAGCATTCCCAGTGCAGGCGTGCTGCACACAGCACCTGCAGCACACACGTCTTCCCATCTGTGGAAAGGGATTTACTCAAATGAGTGCCAAGCACAGCTTTGTTTGGGGGCAGAGCTGGGGTGCCCAAGTGGTGTGTGGGTTTTGCACAGCCAGTACAGCTCTTACCTTGAGCCTGGAGCTGGGAATAACCACTTGTCCTAGCCTTCATTGTCCAGTGTTACCTTCTGGCTCATTCGGCCATTAGTGAAGGAGCTTGTTCATTCTCTGAGGTTTTAATGTGAAGTTTAAAAGAACGACTGGCTTAGAAGAAGTAATGAAAATTGGCAGTCTAATTTTGACCTCTTTCTTGGTAGGATCACCTCTCTCTAGCCAGCCAGTTTTAATTACTGTACAACGGCAGCTACCACAAGCTATCAAACCCGTCACCTACACTGTTGCAACTCCCGTGACAACATCGACCTCCCAGCAGCCTGTAGTTCAGACAGTTCATGTTGTGCACCAGATCCCAGCTGTGTCAGTCACCAACGTGACTGGATTGGCACCAGCAAACACTTACACTGTCGCAGGACAGGCGGTTGTCACACAAGCTGCTATGGTCACCCAGCCCAAGGTAGAACCTCAAGAGAATGGAGACCACAAGGAAGTCAAAGGTAAGAACCTGTGGGGTTGTTTCGGCACCTCTCTATGCAGAGGGATCAGTACTTGAAATTTAGAATTGTAGAACCATGGAAGAGTTTGGTTTGGAAGGACCTTAAAGCCCATCTCGTGCGGAGAGATGCCTTCCACTGTCCTGGGTTGCTCCAGGCCTCATTCAGGGATGGGGCATCAATACTTGCAGGACAAGGCTGAAGCGTTTGGCTAAAACAGAAGATTTCAAATTGTAATTTCTCAGATACATTAGAGCGAGTAATAAAACAACACACTCCCACTGAGGGCTGATTGAGTGAGACCAAGCGGCTCCTGAGCACTTTGTTAATTTTAACCAAATGTTCTCTCCTGTTTGCAGTGAAAGTGGAGCCTCTCCCTGCCATTAGCCATGCTGCAATAGGAGCCGCTGGTCGCATCATCCAGACATCGCAGCCCACCCCCTTACAGACAGTGACCATCGTGCAGCAGGCGCCGCTGGGGCAGCACCAGCTGCCCATCAAAGCTGTCACCCAGAACGGAACGCACATCGTGCCGCTGAGCGCCGCCGTGGGGCCGGGCAGCGCGGGTGCGCCTCCTCTCCTCTCCCTCTCCCCTGCCCTGCCCTGCCCTGCCCTGCCCTCCTCTCCCCTGCCCTGCCCTGCCCTGCCCTGATTCTCCCTGTGGTTGTTACAGGGATGTGCTCAGTGCTGACAGCCCATCCTCTCTCCTTGTTAAACCCGGCTAGAAGCAAGTTTTAAAGAGAAGCTCCTGTAAATCAGAGCTGTTAAAATGGTGCCTGCTCCCAGGTGGTTTGATGGAAGCCACCAACAGGAAAACCAGAACTTGCTTGTGGGTTGGCTCTTTGAACTGTTACTTTTTATTACGATTTTATTGAGCCTGTACTGAAAAGACCAAAATTCTGTAAGGTTTTGAGGTGGTTGGTGTCTGAATCCATCATTCCCCTCTGGGCCTTGGCGGGCTGAGTGGGCAGCAGTGCTTTGTCATCATTCCACACATTCCCTCTTGCTCCCAGCACGGGCAGGTTTGCTCTGCTGGCAGCTCCTCACAGCTTGTTCTAGCAGTTCTGCTTTATGTATTATCTGATACTGAAGGAGAGGTTTTTTTGTCATAAGTTTACACAAATACTTTTAGGGCTGTCTTACATCAATTCATTACCTGCATTTCTGCTCAAAAGTCTTTCTAATGGAGTGAATTATCTCCTTAATTTCCTTTTTACTCCTTTGCCATCACTGACATTTATAGGTCAGTGTTCTGGCTGCTGCCACTTCAGTTCCAGCTTACGAGCAGCAAAAGCATCACAGTCAGACTTGAGGTGCACTTTCTGTGTCAGAAGGGATGTGTGAATAGAGCTGAGAGCCATGTGAAGTATACTGAAAAGCTAGTTCTAAAAGTAAGGAATAATTCCTTTTCTCTTTTTCCTGGATTCTGAAAACTCAGCTGATTTCCACACGTTCCCTGGCAGGGCAGCTGAGGGCTGCAGGGTTGCAGGGAATGTGGCTGCACACAGGAGCAGAGCTGATGCTTCCCACTGCTGTCTGTGAGTGATGGGTGTGCAGTGAGGTGGGCTCCAGGTCCTGGTCTCTTGTTAAATAACTCCTAAAGCAGCAAGAAACCAGGTAATTCTCAGGCAAAGCATCTAAAAGGGGGAGCTGGGCCTATAGAAATGCAATTTGTGTTTGTCTGTGTGACACACACGGCTGTGTTCACACACACATTTGTGTGTTTGTCTTTGGTGAAAGAATGTTTGTTCCATCTGAGAAGAAAGAAGTGCAGAGCAAATCCTGTTCCATTTTCCATGTGCAGTAAAGCAGGAGCTTTCAGATCCTGCTCTCAGCAGAACAGCCTGGCAGCATTGCTCGGTCCTGGGGGTCAGCCGAGAGCTCTGGGCTCTGTGAGCAACTCACGTTTCTTACCGTGCAGTGAAATTTGATAACTCAGTATCGTGTATGTGACCTGACAGGGAGCAGGGGGCTGAAGTTTGTGTTCTGTTTGTTGCAGCTGCTGCAAGTCCTTTGCACATGTTAGCAACCCACGCGTCGGCGTCGGCGTCGCTGCCCACCAAGCGCCAGAACGGAGACCAGCCAGAGCAGCAGGAGCTGAAACGCATCAAAACAGAGGATGGAGAGAGCATAGTCATAGCTGTGAACGTGGACACCCCACCCGTGGCAGTGAGTGACAAAGGCAGCCAGAACTAGAAACTTTAGGGGAGTTTTCCTTTTTTTTAAAAAAAAAACAAAAAAAAAAAACAAAAAAAAAACACAAAAAAAAAAAAAAAAAAACCACAAAAAACCAACAAAAACAAACTCCATGGTGCCAAAAGGAGACACTTAAATCTAACACCTAAAATGTTGGAACATGTTCTCACGCAGTGGGGAAAGGGGCCCTGTGAATCAGACTTCAACTTTCAGCACTGAAACAAAACCCAACACAGGTGGCCTTAAAACTTGGTAACTTAAAAGTGAAAGTGCAGAAGCATGTTGCTGTAGAGGCTGTGCCCCCGCCCCTCCTGCCCCACGGACCGTGTGTGCTGGGAGGGCTGCAGCTCGAACAGGATCTGTCAGGTTTCTCCCAGGACTGAGGATCTCAGTGTAACGGCAGCAGGAGAGCGCTTAGTGTGACTGCTTTCAGAGGATTGCAGATTCCTGAAGGGAACAGAGGCAGGAGCCATTCTGACACCGTGGCAGCTAAGCCTTTCCGAACCACCCACCCATGCAGTTGTTGATAGGTATGCAGTATTTTGTTGTTCACATGTGGAATTTAGAAATTTTTGAGGTGTATTTTCATTTCTTTGCAAAACAATGGGGTCTTTGACATTTCAAATCACTCCATTTCTACTCCGGAAACTTTGGAATCACACAACTACTTTTCATGTGAAATTTTGTTTGGTAAAAAACTGAATGTAGGGTTTTTTTAACCAACGGAATGATTTACTTTTGTCTGTCCTGTTCAAGTTCAGATAAAGCTACTTTATTACATCTGCAAATTTTCATATTTTAGCAGTTGCCTGATAAATTTAATCAAATTTTATTACCATGTGTAGTGATCAAACGCTTCTTTGGGCTTGCATGTAACTGATTAGAAACTCTGATGTAAATGAGCCGTTAACTGACGTAAAGAACTGCTATGGATTTGACCAGAGCTGCACTTACCTGTTTCTCTCTCTGCTACCTTTTGCTGTTTGTTACTTTGTGTTGACTTTGACTGTCCCTGGCATATTTTTCCAGTCTAAAGTAAAACAAGAGTCTCGCTTAATATTGTGTATGTTTAAGATAACAGACTGTTCTTCATTTAGAAAGATAAAATTCTTTATCACGAGTCCTTTTAAAAAGAGTAAAATTATCTTGTCAGAGGTATATTCGATATTTTTAAGCTTAAGCACCCTTCATTAGAAATTAATCTGCCCCGTTTCTCTGTAACACTTTGATGTCAGACACTGACCTCGGGGTCTCCATGACCAGTAGCTGTTGTGGTTTTCTAACAGTGGCTACCAGATTATGGTAATAATTTTTTTTTTTTTTTAAGTGTGTGTTCTGCAGTTGAACATTTTAAAATGTATCGGTAATTTCTCACTTTAATGTGGTAATAGATTCCACTTTACATTTCAAAATTGAATTGAAACAAGGCTGCTGTTCAGTCTTCAGCTCACAACGTCTTAGTTCCTCCTGCAGCCAGGTGAGTGCGAGCCGGAGCTGGCTCCATCGGAATCTGGTTTTTGTCCTGTTCTGTAATAAAGATGCATTATTTATATTTCCTTTCCTGCTACGAAAGGAAAAACTGTTTTTTCATGATGGACTGAACAGTTTGGAGTGGTTATTTTAGGCAGCTTTTGGAAACTATTTACCTAAAGACCAAATATGAGAAATGTGTACAAGTTTTGTGTTCATCCACACAATGGAACTGTTACAATGTCTCTGCAGATAATACATTAAAAAACTATGAAAAAAAACTCTACACAAGCTGGATTTATAACAGGCATTTAAAAAAAAAAGCATAACCTGAAAAGAAGCATTTCTGTACAATTGCAACGTTTTCTTTAGAGGTTTTAAAAATAAAAAAAAAGTAAAGTTTTAACATACTTTTTTTAAGAAAAAAAAATCCAGTACTAGTAATTTAATTTGGTGTTGAATGAATTGACTAGAATGTGGTTTATTTTCAGAAGTGAGAATCTGTTCACAACTAGGGCTAGGTGAATAATAGTGTATAAGATTTTTTTAAATAAAATTAAATTTTATTCAGCAAATTAACTAAGTTGAAATTACTCAACAAGCGTGTTTGGAACATCGATGTGTATTTGGGGTTAGGGCAGCTTCTGTGCCAGCCCCAGCAGGCCAAGTGCCCCTTCCAGCCAGGGCGTGTGCCAGGAGCCACGGGCACGGCGGGGTGGGGCACAGGGGGCACAGCAACGTGTCTGCCTTACGGAGCATTGTCTGCATTGTTCTGTGAGTAACTTTAGGAGATGGCACTTTCTGGAATCACTGTCATCAATGTGGGCTTGGTGTCCATCCCCTTTTCCTGCACTGGTTACGGTCTCTGTTTCTCAGCAGTTGGGGAAATGCTTTCAAGGACCAGGAAGACTTTGCTGGAAGCTGGGTCAGGTTTTCATGGTGGTGCTTTCAGGAGCTGGGGAGAAACCCGACTCCCCAGGCCCTGGATGGCTGTGGACCTGCTGGGCAGGGCTGTGGTGTTTGGAGCTGGATGGGCAGAGCCTGTTCCTTGAACACAAAGCACGGTCTGCATGGTCTGAATAAACACAGTCCTTGGGGAAGAAGGAGGAAATCGCTCACCGTGGAGGCAGTGGTGTCACTGTTGCTCTGCCCAGGGGCAGGCAGAGCAGTGTGACCCAGCCCCAGCCTGGTGCACTGTGGCTGCTGTGTCCAGCACAGCCCTTCTGCCCTGTGTCTGTAAGAACTGTCATGTCTCACGTCTCCAACTGCACTGATTAATCTTGTATTTTCTCCTTTATTGTGACTGCCTGAAGGTTCTGAAAGCAATCCTCGTATTCCACAGTTTCTGCTGGCAGATACCTGGAATTACTGCAGAATGGAGTGCCCTGACTCATTAGTTTTCCTGTCAGGATTCTGAACTGTGACACAGGTACTGTGGAGAGAGATGGCAAAATGGGAAGAGAAGGCGTTGAGTTAGTTTTCAATACAAAGGAACTGCTAATCCCTGTCCTTTAGGAGCAGCTGCTGGTGCTGCTGGTCTGTGTTCCAGGAGCAGCCGTGGTTTGCTCCTGCTGTGGGGGCTCTCTGCTTTCCTGGTGCTGGGGGTGATGCTGTGGCACCCCCAGGCCATCAGTGCCAGGCACGGGGCCCGCAGCCCTCAAGGCTCTGTTCCTTCTCCCCGCAGTGACTGGCAGCACTGCTCCATTGGTTGTAGAGCTGTGCAAACCCTGCCTGCGGGAGCGTGAGCCAGCGAAGCCGTCAAGCACTGCCAGAGCAACCTGGAGGCAGCGCCGGCTGGGAAGGCTCGATCCTGTGCTGGATTCCATCCCTGTGGAACAGCTGGACCTGATCACATCCGTCTGCAGGTAGCACGAGACACCTGAGGGGTGTTGGGGCACTCCGGGGTTACTGCAGCACTGCTGCCTGCCTGCACAGGTGTGTTATTTTCATTCCTGCTGCCACGTTGGAGCAGAGGTTTAGGGAAAATTTGACATGTTTAGAAGAGTTTAAATCTTCCCCAGGAATGTGTTTGTTGGCTCTTGTCAGCTCTAGGATAACGGGGGCAGGAGGCCAGGGGGTACAGCAGCAGCTGGGGCTCAGCAGAGCTGTTGGGGCAGGGGCTTCCTGGTGCTGGGATCAGGAGCAGCTCCAGCTGCACAGGGAGAGGATTTACATGGCCCTTGGGGAGCCCTCTGCAGCTTCTCCAGGAGATGAGCCCCAGCTCCTGCTGCTCCAGCCCAGCAGGGGGAATGGTGAGGTAACTGGTTTGCACTGGGACAGACAGCAAGGTGCATGTCCCAGGCAGTGGCTCACGTGCTTCTGGCCCTTCCTCCTGCAGCAGATTCAGCTCCTGTCCTTCACCGGCCACCAATATTGACTCACATGTTTATTTCCCCAGCCTGGAGCAATGGAAACCATGGCTGTGACCAGCAGTGAATACAGCAAAGTTAGTCACTTTTATTTAAAAGAAATAACATATTACAAATAAGTGTGCAAAACAATTCCTGTGGTTAAATACGCATAAAAGCAACATGCAACCTTGACATCAACATGGTAAGTTAGTCCTTAGTAGGTTACATGACACTGAAAGGGACTTGTCAAAGTTAGAGTTTGCAACTGAAGTCACAGAGTGTCAGGGCTGAAGCATCTGTGAAGTTAGCTTTCAGAAGAGCAAGACCTTCCTGCCCCAGTGTTTAGTGCCACAGATGCCAAATTTGGGGCTATCTCAGGTTCTGGGTTAGGAGCTTGTGCCTTAGGTCAGCAGGAAAGAGGGTAAGAATTTTTGGGGAAGAGTGTACAAGTCAGTGGGTTCAGTCTAACCTACCTGTCCCTGGCCAGCAGCAATAGTATGCGACAGCTCAAAGGGAAAAAAAAAAAAAGACAAGTTTGCAAGTTTAAAGCCATTGCAGACATGGAACTTCCTGCCACCTTGTTCAGTTCCTGTGCTGGACGTGGCCATGGCCTCTCCAGCCTCCCAGCTGCAGCAGTTTGGCAGCAGTTTCACAGCTGTCACACCAGTACCAACTGCTGGATTATTGAAGGAATCAGCTCTACAAGTACAGGAGCCCTGGGTGCTTGCTGTGCTCACACAGGAGGGGAGCTGGGGCAGCCCTTACCCAGAGGTGCTTCCAGCTGCTTCACAGTTTGGCACCTTGGACAAGCAATGCTGATCCTCACCTGAAGCAGCACTGGCAGGGCCACACGAGCACCACCAGCCAGCCCTGAGCACCAGGTCAGAGGACAAGCAGGACTTGATCTACAGGTGTCCCTTGCTCCATTCTCGTCACCTTCTCTGTTCCCTCAGCTGTGCCAGGGGAGGGAGGAGGCAGGACTCCTGGTGGAGAAAGCAGGACCCAGAGCGTTCCCTGCTCCCAGCCATGCAGTGCAAGTACAGCAATGCCTAAATCTTCTGGTTTCACATCCCTGTTCCTAAAGCCAGCTGAAGGTGTGGGCAGCCCCTGCAGAGCTCTCCCTGTGGCAGGCACTCTTGTTGGAGCTACAGTCATGTCACATTTTAGACTAAAGAGAAACCCAATAGGCACAAGCTTGTCAAAAGCCACATCTTGAAAACTTGAGTTGGTGACAGTAACCCAAAGAGATTTTAATGATGAATACTTGCAGAAATGAGAACAAACATATGTAGTCCACTACTTCAGAGCTGCTTGTGATCATGTTGAGCCAGGCTTCTCCATGAGCTCTGCTGAACTTCTGGATCAGTGCTGGACACTCAGATACTGTCCCCAAAGGCGCGGGTGGCCGAGGCAGCGCTGTGAGCCGGGCACTCCCTCCCCTCAGTCAAAGCTTGTCGTCCGTCATTTCTAGGAACTGAGCGTACACATCCCTTGAGCATTCCCCTTTTTGGTTGAACAAGAACTTGTAGTAGCTGCCATCTGCACATATTGCTGCAACACAAACAAGCAGGGTCAGGGGGCTGTGCCAGAGGTGCTTTCCTTTGCTCCAGTGTAAGCTGCCCTTCAGACTCACAGAGGTGTTCTGGAGGGACCCACGGGCCACCAGCCCTGCCGGCCCTGTGCCCTGCCAGCCCTGTGCCCTGCCAGCCCTGTGCCGTGCCAGCCCTGTGCCCTGCCAGCCCTGTGCTGTGCCAGCCCTGTGCCCTGCCAGCCCTGTGCCCTGCCAGCCCTGTGCCCTGCCAGCCTCGTGCTGTGCCACCCCTGTGCCGTGCCAGCCCTGTGCCCTGCCAGCCCTGTGCCTCCCTCCATGGGCAGTGGGAGCAGCCAGAGCTCTGGGGTGACAGGGACACTCAGGCCTGTCCCAGCAGAGCACCCCCTCCCTCCAAGCCAGCAGAGATCACAGCCTGGTTCTCCAGCCAGAAGCTGGGGATGCCTCCATCACTCACCTATGACAGCATTTGGCTCTGTTCCAAAGGCACAAATGCACGGAGAGCCTGAGGGAACCTGGAACTTGGAAAAACTCCATTTGGAACTGAAGTATTTGGGGAGAAAGGTGGCAGAGGCCAAACTGAAAGAGAAAACAAAAAAAAAAGACGTTAACAGGTTGGCAAGGTGTTGAGTAGGGTGGATTCAGAGCTGCTGCAGTGACTGAACAAGGTGCTTGATTTTTTACTGGCTTTTTATTTGAGTAAGAATCAGATAACCTGAGTGATTTCCCCTTGCAGGAAGAGAGACACTACAACTACCCTGCTGGCTTTAAGTGACTGCAAAAACTGCCAGAAAGATTGATTTGTAGTAGAACAAAGTGGCCACAACATATGTTCATCCTAAGGTCCACTAAAACCTACACTGACTCTCTGGTGAAATGCTACAGCCCCTCAAAGGACAGCAGGAACTTGGCAATTACCAGAGATTACTAAATCTGCATCTTCATGTCAGTCCAGCAGATAAATCTTTCCACCTTCAGCAGCGTAGAGATTTTGCTACTGAGTGACATGGCCAGTGTTCTCAGTGCAGTTCAAAGCTCGAGGACCCCTCCCACCCCAGGGCTTCAGAATGGCTCCATCCCTACCTGGACTGCTTATTCCTTTTGGGATCTTCTGCAGCAAAAATGTGGACTGTGCCGTGGTCACTGGAGACGCAGATGAGGGAAGCATCCTGGTTGAAGTTAATACTGCAGAGAACACAGACAGCTGCAGGATTTCCATGGGACAGAGCCACAGCCCTGGCACAGACGTTGTGCCAGCCTGGCAGGTGGGGTGGTAGCAGCTGCTCAGGAGGAGCAGGGGCTGCCCCAGCCAGGGCTGCCAGGGGTGAACAGGGCCTCAGGGGCAGCCCTGCCATGGACACCACTGGTGTGGGTCACTGCTGCAAGGGAATGCACGAGCTGTGCTCTGAGGGGTGGGCAGAATGTCCAGCTGCTACCCCACAGCGGGGCTCAGCACAGGAATAGGAGTTCTCATGGGCAGAGGGTTTCCCTGCTCCTGGGACAGTCACACCTGTGCCCTGGGTGCTCTCCTGCCCAGCAGGATGTGGGGATAAAGGTCCCCTTGCCCCTGAGCTCGCCCCAGTGCCCCTGAGCAGTGCTCCAGTGCATCAGGGTGTCAGTGGGAAGTTCAGCATCCCCCAGCTCCCACCTGGGCTGAGCAGAGTCAGCCTGGCACCAGCCACAGCTCTGTCCCTGGTCCTGCAGCCTGTGCCAGGCCTCTCCTCCCAGCAGCGAGCCCAGAGGGAGGTGCAGAGGCACCAGGGCACCACAGCCATCCTGTGCTGGCTGAGGGGCTCAGCACAGCCAGACCCACACATGGCACAGAGGCAGCTGAACGTACCAGTATATATTGGCTGCTTGTGATCCTCGACGTAGCTCCTGGATTAAATGCCCTGATGAAGTATCAAATATTCTTATGAGGGTCCCCTTGGAAAGGAATCAAGCATTGTATTAGGAAAGGCAGAAGACTCTACATCTGTGAATGCATCCTAAAATTTTGTCTGACCAGCATGCCCCTGCACCCACTGCTTGGGTTTTCTTTTTGGTAGATTTGCAAACCTTTCTTAATTTTGGGGAAGAACACTAGTTTCCCCACACACCACCACCACAATGTTATAATGCTTTAGGGTACAATCTTGTCACTTAGTGACTCAGGAAGTCTCTTTTAGTTCAGTTCTAAGGCACTGCTGCAGCCCTGGCCCTGACTTGCAGACACTGGCTGGTGTACAGTGTGCCCAGGACCCGTGGGTCCCTTCTGCCATGCTCCCCTCAGTACTACTGCATTTTTCACTGCTGCTGTGCAATTCTGTCCCACTAAGTGTAATCATGCTGTGGCTGGTCTTGTCTTAAACTGGTTCAGTTGACATAACTCAGAAGAATCGGTTACCACATGCTCATGATCTGTATTGATCCAAATCTGAGGCACCACCCAGTCAGGTGATGGAACACTGCACTGGGGAACTCCTTCAGCTGGAGCCAGAGCTGCAGAACAAGCCAGGGTGTCTCAAAGTGATCAACAAATCAGTGCTGCTTTCCTCTGATGAAGACTGGCTGTACACTGGGCTGTGCATCACCACCTGCAGCTCCTGTTACACACCTGCTTAACAGAGGCAGCCCTCCAGTCACACACCAGGAAATAACTACCCAGCAGAGAAAGACTTGGTAAACATAGCTTAGTTTTGATTTAAGAGACAGGCTTGAGATGTTTGCTGACTGTGCTCAGACTTCTAGTTCAGTTGGAAAATAAAAGCTGCTTGAACTTTTTCTCTATGCAAAACAAGGAATGTTTAATACAAATGCAGCAGATAATGGCTCTATTTAGCAATGGAGTTGGCAGCTTTTAGAACTCTGCTTAGAAGACATGAAATCATTAAGCTTAAGAGAGACTTGGGATAAATTTTCTTTTTTTAAACTGTTTGAGTGACAGGCTGGGCAGTAGAAACTATGTGAAACAGAGACTCCTTGGATTAATTTGGCTTGTCCTTAAGAAACTGATTTCAGCTGAGTGGAAGAAGGCAGCAAGAGCTGTGCTTGCCTCAGGGAGATGGGTCCATCTGCCTGACATTCCCTGGGGAGGCAAATGTCCTGGCAGCTCTCCCTGTGGTTCCCAGGGAGAAGGCAGCTCTGTGATGTTTGCCCCTCTGCCTCAGCCCAGCACAGGGGATCTGCACCCTGGCTTTGTGCTCTTGTCCCTGTCTTGTCTCCTCATCCCCATGGAACGTGCAGCCCTTTCTGTGTGAGGGGGCAGCCCATCCTGTCCTGCTCTGTAACAGGGCTGAGCCAGAGCAGAACAGAGCCCACCAGTACAACTGAACTATTTACAAGTATTTCTTTAGCCAGTGGGTTTGGAGTGAATTTAAGCAGAAAATAATAAAGGTGAAGAATTCAAATAAGCTCCCCCCAGCGCCGTTTTGGGTTTTTTTACATCTTGAAGAACACATCAAAGACATCAACTTCTTGGGCCAAGTTGTGTTCAAATGTCACTGAAGAATCACTGCTACAGCCAGCTACAACAAATACCACCTCAGGCACAGCCCTTGGCTGTCAGCATCCCAGAGGAGCAGGGAAGATAAAGACAGAGTGCACAGGTCAGGGGCAGATTTTCCCAGCAGGTATTTCTCTGTCTTTCCTCCAAAGGATGTGACTTGGCTATTTTATCTCACTACACTAGAACACACAATAACTCAGAGGCAGGGGACAGCATTCTTACTTTTTCTGATGCTGTTGCAATTCTTGTTCCCTGCAGGTTTAAAGCAATACAGCTCAAGACTCCTTCGTGAGCTGGGATGTCCACAGGAGGCTTCTCTGTGTTAGCCAGATCCACAATCTGCACGTGCCCAGTGTGTGTTCCAGGAAATGCAAGAAGAGAGTTATTACTATTTGGACAAAGGACACAGAGACCTGAAAGACAAAAAAAAAAAAAAAAGAAAAAAAAAGAAAAAAAAAACCCCAATGGGATCATTTCCATAACCTAATCAACTTTTCCAATGTAAGTTTCTAAAATATTGATAATTTCAGGATAAGCAAATACCCATGGAGTAAATCAGAATCTCATTTTATGGCTAGTGCCATTACATTAATTGCTAGTCCCAAAACATCACCTGTCCATGAGTGCAGAGCCCAGTTAAGCAGAGTAGCATAATTTTAATTTGCTCTCATCACTTTATTTCAATGTAATCCAGCTGTGGTTATCCAGAATCTGGGTGGTTTTGCAGATCAGCCCAGTCAGTCCATTACATCAAAGCTATTTTAAGAAGAAGTTAAAAGGTCTCCTTAGCAGCTCAGAAAGGGTAAGAGTTTATCAAAAATGACATCTGATCTTCTGCTCCATCAGTGAAAATATTATTAATTTGTGTTTGAACTTGGTTCTTACAGCAGTGGCACCTTTTTCTTTGTCATGTTTAAGGTAAATCACACCAATCCCAGGTGTTCTGTGGGTGCCAAGTGAATTCCTGAAACCTCAGCACAAGAAAAAACCTCCTCCTCCTGCATCCCCTGCCTGTCAGTCAGTCAGGCTGCTGGAGCTGCATCCAGGCTGGAATTCCATGACAGCAATTCCATGCTTGCTGCAGGCAGGCATGAAAACCCTCAGAGATGGGGGGTCCAATCCTGTATGATGTGGTGGAGAAAACACCCTCCTGACACCCGAGCTGATCCTCTCCACCAGCCAAGCCCTGCCTGCAGCCCTCGTTGCACGTGCAGCACTACCAAGAAGTGTTTGCTCCACGCTGCTGACACTCCTCAAGGCCCTGGCAGCCCTGCAGAGCCCTGCAGCAGCTCCCTCTGCTCCTGCTGCCATCACTGAATGAGCCCGAGCCCCTCCCCTGGGCTCAACAACAGCCACAGCCAGGCCTTGCTGTTTAAAATGAACAGAACCAGTTTGCTCACTGGGCTCTTTCTAACAGGAGAGAAGAGTTTGCTCAGCACCTCCAGCTCTATTAGGAAAGAGAAATGATGCACTTCACTGAAATTTGTGTTTATAATTAACCTTCCAGTAAAAATACAGGTTCTTTACAGAAGAAAGCATACAGCTCTTCAGAAATCACATCTATAACATGAGTACAGGAAACAGCTTTTCTGGGCCAAGTATTTATAAATTCTACTAACCATTCTATAAACACAAAAGCATCTCCAAAGGACATGACTGCAGTGCAGTAAGTGTTTAATGACTTCTAAAGGACTGACTGAGGCAGCTGAAGATAAATGGCACGTCAAGAACACAGTAAACTTGCTTCCATTGCCCAGCCCACACGTACAACTAACCTTTAGGGTTGTAGCAGGTTTCAAAGACGTGCAGCTGGTGGGGATTGTGTGTGAAGGTGAAAACTTTAATCATCGAGTCCAACACAACCACAATTCTGAAACAGACCAGAAGTTCCAGGGTGGATAAAACAGGGACACAAACATTCATTCAGACCTGCAAAGGCTTTCAACTGATTTAACAGCCACATTCTTCCTGCCCTCCCCCACAAGAGACTCCCAGCCTTGTAGCAGCCACGCAGTGATAAGCCTGCAAAGCACTTTTATCCAGCCCCTCCACCCACGCATACAGACTCCAGCTGTTCACAGCTGCTCTTGCTCCAGGGATCTGCTGGAATTTTCTTCACTCCCCTCCATACCTAGAAAACCAGCAGGAGCCACAGGAGAATATTTCCCTGCATTAGGGGATCAGGAGGTCTTGTAGGCTTTTCACCAAGGCTTCACAGAGCAGTATAGTTAAACTGTGGCCTGTTTACACCTAACACCCTGGCCCCAGAAGCCTGTTTCACCTGCTGGTGCTACAGCAGGATCTTCTGCTCTGTACAAGCAGCTGGAAGTGAGTAGGGGCACAGAGCCAAGCTGGGTGTCTGGACCCCTCTGCTGTACCTACCTGTCTCTTCGCAGCTTCACTGCTTTGACTTCTGTGGAAAACTCTATCTCAATGACAGTTTTCTTCTTCAGGTCATCCCAGATCATGACTAGAACAGTGCAGAGATTGCATTAGACCATCAAGGCATATTCAAAGATGCACAGCTCCCTTGTAACAACTTGCAGCCCCCCAGCAATCTGATCAAGAGGTTCACCCAATGGTTAAGCAGCTGCAGACAGGCATCCTGCTAACCAGAAGGCACTGAGGCACTACACATCAACCCCCTCACTCACACTAGAACTTGTGCATGCAGGAGCTGGTCAACTACAACCACAAACTGACAAAAAAGACATATCATTCTAAAGAAAAGCAGCTATTTTTTGTTTGCTCTGAGGGTTATGGAAGAACTAATGCAGCAGTTGAAAAGAGCAGTACATTTTCCTACCAAGCTGGCCAGGCAGGGAGCTCCCTGCTCCTTGCAGAGCTCACTGTGAGCAGGTCAGCAGGCCCTGCAGAGCAGTCCCTGCAGGTACCAGCCTGTCAGCACTGCACCACGGTGGCTTAAACCTGCAGCAGCATCCCCTTCACCTGCCCTTCAGGCCATCAGCTCAGGCCCTGCTGTGGGGCTCTGGCAGTGTCACAGGGCCAAGGCAGGCCTGTGCAGGGTCCACCCCTCATGCTCACCTTTGTTGGGGGGGTACTTCGGCTTTTTTCCTCCGCCTACAAGTGCTAAATAGTTGCAACGAAACAACATTTCCACATGGCCGACACCACCTTCTAGAAACTCTGCAAGACAAGTATTTCATTTGAAAGTGTCAGAACTGCTTAAATTGCCATCTAATTTTTACCACTGTTACAAAAAAACCTTGTGTTATCCAGCACATTTCTCAGGAAGCTGAGAAAGCATCTTCCTACCCTGGCTGCCCTCAAAAACCAGAGAATGGGGATTCCTTGAAAGTCCTTAATACTGGAGCAGTAAAGCCTTGGATTTCATACAAGCCTTTGTGGTTTCTTCAACAGCACTTCAGAGTGCTGTGTTTCCTTCCTGAGCAGTTGTACTTGAACACTGCCCCTTTCTGCACCAGATCCTCCTCCTGACTCCATAAAAGCATTCAAAGCAGGACAGCACATTCTGCTAGGAAGAGGTGCTATCACTGTGACAAAAAGGTCTACAGTATTTACAAGGGACAACCTGAAACAATGTAAGAATGTGTAATGTGTTCTGAATCTGTGTTAGAGCACTGAGTCACTGCTTGGACGGGAATTTCTTGGAACTCATGGATGTAAGACAGGGGTTGCAACAAGATTTGGTTTCATACTGGGTTACAGAGAAAATCAAATGGACAAGCTCCAGCTGGGAGTGTCTTGGGCAGGTCTAAACCTACACAAACAATGAACAGGATCTGTGTGTGCCTACACAGCCAGTTCAGTGAGAGCCCAGAATCCACAGGGAAAAGCCAATCTGACTCACAACAAACTTTTCACCACGGAAGTCCTGCAAGCATCCCCATCCAGAGCTACTGGCAGGGAGAGTTTTCACATGGAACTCTACAGGATTTCAGACTAATTCTGACTCTTTGAGCACACTGTCACAAGTGATAGTCCCAAGGCATGTTGCTTATGGAAGAATTTACTGTTAGGAGCAGAAAATAGTTTGTCAGCTTTGGCCATGTGAACAGTGACTAAAATCCTTACAGTGGTAGCAAGTGAGAGTGTGCCTGAGTTTGTATCAATTGTTAGTTTAAGTACATTTTTCCTCTTATTAAATCCCTTTTCTCACCACAGGCTGAAAGTGCTGGGAAACCTGTTTAGCAGCTCACTTCCTATATTTAGGATTAGAATGACACGGCTCAGTTTCAGTTTCCCATATTTTGACTCAGTTTTGTTTGCTTTCTGATTAAAAGCTCCACTGTTAATACAGCTCATCTACTGACTTCTGTTAAGACACAGGAGTAGCTTTACCACATTAAGATCCTCCCAGATTTTTAAAGCATACATAGAAGGTAAGATTTAGAGCATTAGAGGTCTGACCTCTCAGTGCTCCTGCAGACAATACTCTTGAGTATGAGAAATGTTACACTGAGATCTCCAGGAAAAAGCCTGGAGTCCTACTGCCACACTGGATCATCCAGATCAGCACACATGAACAGAACAACTTCTGATGGCTGCAGGGAGTGACTCCTCCTGCTCATAAATACCCAGGAAATGCCTCTCCTACACAGGCTACAAACATTAGCAGCAGCAAACACAACTCTGCCAGAAGCTGAGACAAATTCCTCATCAGCCAACTGTGCAAATTAACAGCAGGGAGACTTTTGACCCGGCAATGGCACGAGTGCCAGTCCCTGTGGGAGCAGCAGGAGCTGCCTTTCCTGAGGCTTTATTCAAAGCCTTCCAGGGATGGAAGAGTGAAAGCTGAGCAAGAATCAGTCAGGAAAAAATGAGAAGGCTGAGCTTCCAACACAGAGCAGCATGGTGTAATAAGTAAGTGTTTTACCTTGTTTCTCTTTTTCTTTGAGTGGATCTGCATTATAAACTCGGAATCCATTTTCCATTCCACATGCAAAGCATCCTGTGGTAAAAAGCACATATATATACACATATATAGTAATTGCCAGATACACTCAAGAAGGAAGCAAGAGCCAGAGGGTTAGGAAAGCATTGCTCAACGACTGCATGGTTACACTCAAGCTGAAGAGCACTCACAGGCTCTCTTAGTGATGGCAAGTGGAAATCCTCCAGAGCTGTCCTCTACACTGGCCTGGTATAAATATCTTGGTATTGGTTTTAGGCAGGTAAGAAACAATAGAAGGAAAGGAAACCAATTCCCAACCCACCTGGATCTGTGCCATGCATCAGAGGGCAGGAAACCAGCATCTTAATGCTTATGGTCCAACAGTTATGAAATGAGCTCCCTCCTTTCTTAACAGATCCAAATTCACCTCATGATTGCAACTCTGCTGTGGATGTTTCCAGAGCACAGTGCTCATCAAACAGCTTCTCCAACTGTGCTAACGAGAGCTGACTGCTGTACCATGCCAATAATTACATGCCAATAGCTGAAGTCCAACCCAGGACATAAGCAGAAGCCAGATTAAAACTCTCTGAAAAATAACTGTAGTTACTTCTTCATAAAGAAGTGTGCATGTGCTTCTTTAGTGGACTCCATTGAGCTGCCAGTCCCTTGTCCTGCTCCTTGCCCTGCTAACAGGGGAACACAGGCACTGGTACAAAGCAATGCCCCTGTGAAGTCAGAGCAATGATAATCACCAAGAAGCTGCTGACACTGGCAGCAGCCTGGTGACAGGCTGGCTGCTCACAATTTGTGTGTGCTGTACCAAAAATCCAGTTAAAGATCTCTGGATCTGGTACTGGAATGTAAGTTCCAGTTACTCTGGTTCTATTCTTATGTACTGCAATGATTTGAACCCCTCAAATAAAAGCTGAGGAGCTCTGTCTAAACACAACCCTTCCCCAAACTCAATACTCCAACCATCACAGGGCGTGTGGGGGAAGAAAACAAAACACAAAAACCTATGCCCTTAACCCTAAAGACTCCAGGTACAACTGCACCCTGTCCAAAAGTTCTTGTTTACATAGATAAACACACACAAAGTAGATAATGTGAATGTATTAATTGTAGCAGGATTAGCAACCACATTGCAATAGGGTTGGATATGAACTCTCCCTCCCCCCTCAGCAGTGATTTGCTCTGGCAGCTGGGTGTGTGAGCTGCAGTGATCTCCCAGCACTGGGACAGCCAGGGAGCAAACTGCAATGGAAACCTTCCCCTCTACATAAAGCACTGCTTCACAGGAGAGAACTGATCTGTTCCTCACAGCTGATCCATATCATTATTTTCAGCAACAGTTTTCTACTCCCATACTGTATTTCCAGGGAAGTCAAAGGGAAGGGATGCTGAAGCAGTTCCCAGTAAGAAAGTGCTGTAAGGTTTGAGTTGTGCTGATCCCAGAAGCTCCTAACAACCCAAATGCAGCATTCCTGATGCAATCAAACACACACTTTACACTTCCTGCAGCACCACTACAGCTTTCTGCAGGACCAGCCTCGTGAGTAAGACGTGGGCTGCTTTAATGCCTTGGGAATAGCCACATTTTTAACTGAAGACACACAGCAGAACGTGGGGATGTGAGTAACAGTGAAATCCCCCATGTGGTCGATCACTACCCACAGAGATATGAAGCTCTCAGCAACGGCAACCCCTGAGTCAAACAAGAGAAGAAAACCCTACAGGAAGATTCCTGCTCCTGCTTCAGTTCCAGATTACAGAATAGCTCTGAAGCTTGGTGATTCCCATCTGACTGATTTCTGCTCCACTGGAATCACAAATGTGATGGCTACAGCCATGTGAGAGCTGGAAGGGGCTGACAGAGGAGCGAACATTTCCTTAGGTTCACTTCCTTCCACAAAAGTGCACCTCTCTTTTCAAGAAGGGACAGATGAACTGAAAAGCCACTGACAACAGATAACTCAGATACTTTTTTAAAAAATGCAATGATTACAGAGTTATTGCCCTGATCCATAGTTGTGCTTGTTCCTACAGTAAAGTGCTTTTTGCCACCAGTGCCAGTGAGACCAGAGTGAGTTTTGTTCCTCCAAATCTGCAGGAAAAGGAAGGGTTAAATGAAGGAGCAGTCCAGAAGATGCCACAGGCTGAAGGGGACAGAGAAACCTGCAGGCTCTGGGGTGTGAGGTCCCACAGTGGCAGCAGTGGAGCCAGGGAAGTGACAATGTCCAGCACAGTTTCTGCCATGGTGGTTTTCCTTGGCACCACAAATGCTGTGTAAAGCCAAGAGCACAGGACCCTACCAACACTGTGGGGTCCCACAAAGCATTCCAGCCCACTGGGGAAGAGTAAATACTTAAGTCAAGTGCTTCCCCACCAAAACAAACCCACAGCTCAGTTTTCAAAGTAGCTTTAGGCTGCAACAGTGACAAAAGAGAAATCTGTCAGCAATTTACAGCTATGGCCATTTATAATGATGTTTTGTCTCTTCATTTCTGAAAAGCACGTTAGTGTCCTTCTCCAAGCATTAGGAAAGGATCTGAAATCAGGAGCTCACAGTCTCCAAATTAAGAAGATAAAATCAGAATATTCTGACTTCAAACAACTGACAACTTCAATTTCCTTGTGTTACATTGTTTCTTTGTTGTTTAATTTAAAGGCCAAAAGTAGCAAAGGCGCCTGACAGAAAACCAGCATCACTCAAGTGAGAGCGAGGGAGGCCCATGGCAGAACAACCACAGCTGCTTCATCACTTGCCAGTCAGGGAGACTCAGCCCCAGAGAGACTCCTTAGATGGTTCCTCCTGTTCTCCCATCCTCGTGGGATCGGCCAGTCTTAAATTACTGAGAAATTAGGTTATTGTGGCAGCACATGCAGACACCCACACTTGTGAGCTCCAGCACTCCAGTGACTCACGTTCTATTCCTGGCAGAAACAAGAAGGAAGCAGGGAGCTTTCCCTCCCCTCTGCTCTCCTTCAGGTGGCCAAACATCACCCGCCCTTCAGCACTTTACAGGAGCCCTAAACTCATAAAAGGTCACTGAGTTACCTGCAGTGCAGCGTCATCATTCCTGACAGGAGCAGCTCCAGGAGCTGCCAAACAAAAGCCTATTGTGTTTTTTCTTCATGCTTTTTGTCATCACTCAGTTGCCTGGCCAGGTGAGGTGGGATGGGACATGAATACTGGCAGCTCACAGATTGCCAAGACAAATTCCTTCAGGTGCTTTGGATGTGATATTCCAAAAAAATCTTGCATTTTTTGCTATGGAATTAAGGAAGCCTTTGTAACAAACAAATTTTACACTAAAATGATGACCTAAAGGCATTTTGCAATAAAAGAGAAACTCTTCTTCTTACACAGTTCTACAGGCCAAGAACCAAATATCACTGCTCCATTACAGACCCTGCAGATCTGAAATTACCTCATGCTCAAAAATCTTTTACCATCTCTGTTGGAGAGGCAAGATGAAAATAAGTGCAGAGCTGCTAAGAAACAAACTATGTATTCCTTTCACATCTATGGGACAGGAGGAAGAGAGCTGCCAAGATGCTCTCACCTCATTACCTGCTTCATGTGCTATTGCCAAGATGTCATCAGAGACGTCTGACTAAAATCAACAGAACAATTCATGTTTACACACGACTTCAACAGCGTCAGCAACAGGTACATGAGCTGCAGTCTACAACGACAGAGGCTGCAAGAGTGTCTTAAGCAAGAATATTATTTGTTAAGGCAAAAGGATGTTGCAAAATGATGAGCTTCTACTCCTTATTCCACAAAAACGACACTTACTCATCAGACTGGTGCTATTTTTGTCTTGCCAAAGCAGGATGAGGAACATGTACCCTGTTTCTGGAGCAGGCCTTCCCCTCTAACAAAGGGAAAAGATAAGCCAAGGATGCACAGCCAAGGGGCTGTTGTATCAGTGCTTGCCTGCCAGTGTGATTAGCAGAGTTAACCACAGTTTTTCAAACACAAACCAGGTAAAAAGAAAGAAAAAAGCAGTTACAGCACTCATTTGAATGTGGAGTAGTCAGAGTGAGGGAGGGCCGAGCCGCGAGCAGCTCCCAAAGAAGCCCCTGCAGCACAGGCTTTGAGCAGCCCGCACGGCAGCAGCCAGGCGCAGCAAGCCCCAGCAAGCCGGGTCCTGGCGCTGCTCTGCTCCTTGTCCCCTCACCCACATTCGCCTCTGCGAAGCGCTGGGCACAGACCCGACCGCACAGCGCTAAACACCGGGAGAGCCACGAAACGCTGCCGCTGCCAGCGGCCTTGCCGGCTCCGTGCAGCCGCTGCAGCCGCCACGCCTCGGGCATCCCCACACAGCAGCGCCGGGACGCAAGCGGGACCCGCAGGGATGGCTCGGGAGCCGCGGCAGCCCCGGGCCCGGCCCGGCCCCGGCTCTGCACCGCCGCCCCTCCGCGGCGCCGCCCGGCTCCCCGGGCCCGCAGCCTCACCGTGGTCCTGGTTGAAGCCGGCGTAGAGCAGCCCGTTGCCGTGCGGGTTGGCCGGGAGCAGGTTCATGGCTCCGGCTCGGCCCCTTCGCCCCCGCCCCTCACACCATGGCGGCGCCCGCCCGCCTCAGCGCCGCCGCGGGAGCCCGAACCGAGCCGGGCCGAGTTAAACCCGCCCGAGTCGGGCCCAGTCCAGCGAGCCCGCCGGAGCCGAGCCGGGCCGAGCTGAGCCGAACCCGCCCGAGCCGGGCTGAGCGGAGCCGAGTCCGGCCGAGTCCCGCCGGGCCGAGGCGGACAGGCCGGCCTCTGCTTCCGGCCCTGCCAGGCACCGCTGCCGAGCGCAGAGCCCATCCAGCCGCCGGCGGGAGGAGCGCCGAGTAGTCGAGCGCCGCGGGAATGGCGGTGGGAGTGCCGGGGATAGACCGGGAGTGACCGGGACTGACCGCCCGGACCGACCGGGACGGACCGGGACTGACCGCTGGGCCGGTGAGGATGGATGGCCCGGGCCCCTCCCAGCTGCAAAGGACTGTTTGGTAAAAGCTTTCACATCCAACTAGTGAAAACACAGCAGTTGCGGTTGGACGCGCTAAAACAGGGGTTCCCCCCAAACCAAACCGACCCCAAACCACCAGCATCGCAAATACGTCTTGAAAAGTGGCAATTCTCGGGAGCCAAGGCCCTGGACTTAAACAGCAATTTTACTTCGAGCAAGAGGATGGACCGCACAGCCTGGTGAGGCCCTTGCCAGGCGGATTTTCCATGAGTGTACGGAGCTGGAGCCCAGACTGTGTGCTCACTCCAGGACCCGCCGTTCGCCCCCTTTCCCTGCTCGCTCTGTGCGTTCCGCGGTGTCGCAGTTGTGACCAGCTCTGCTGGGAGGTGACCGCGGCTTTTCGGGGCACCCCCGAGCTCTGCACAGACCAGCTGCTGTAGTGTTCTTTGGGTACTCATACATGCCTATAAAATGGAATAATCACATTGCGTCTTTATGAGATTTTGTTTCCTCAGGCAGCCCAGAGGCTGGGGAATGTGAAATAACAAACGCTTTGCTTTATTTAAAGCTTCTGGGCGACTAGGGCCGCAGGCTTTACTTACTCCATGTGGGATTGCTGCAGGCGTTAGCAGGAGCCCCGAGTGCTGCCCCAGCCTGTCCTCACCTGGTGTTTGTCGTGGCCGGCAGGAGCAATGTGTGGATGTGGGGACGGACACACATCCGCGGAAATGCTCCCTCCAGCCTGGCATTCCTCCTGCATATCACAGAAAGGGACCAGGCTGCCAATGGAGGCCACGGGAATAACTCGGAAGAAAGGAACCAGCGTAGCCGTGTGCATGGCACAGAAGCGCTCATGCAGCTCCCGGCCTGGGCGGGCACGTGCTAAAGTCTGGCTGTCTCCGAGGCAGGTTTAGCCCCGCGGAGCTGCAGGCAGCCTGCCGGTGTCCGCACCGGAGAGGCAATTTCAACATCCCGGCGTGTCCCGGAGCTCCCCCGGCACGCTCAGCTCAGGGCAGAGCCTGCTCGTACCCGGGCCCACAGGAATTCTTCCACCGGAGCCCACAGGAATTCTTCCACCGCGCGGGGGTTGCGGGCTGGGCTTTCCCTGAGAGCAGACTGCTTCTGGTGGCGCTTTTCTTTGAGCTGATGCACTGATTGCTCCAGGCCCGGCACTGCTCTGGCACCTTCCTGGCTGGAATTTTTACACTCGCAGATCCAGGAGGAACATCACAGAGCCTTGGTGGTGTCTCACAGCAGTGGGAACGCTGGTAGGAAACTGGGACGAAGCTGCACCACTTACTGAGGAAGAGGAGTCACACGATCCCCTCACACATTAAAGACTTGGCTTGAGTTTTTCTTCCACCTTTCAGGTAACAATTTTGTAGACAGATGTTGTATCAGAAGCCTTGTGTGACACTTAAAGGCTGAGTTCACATTCATGGTATCTAATTCATGTATATTGTTCTTCACATTCTTCTAAAGGAAGATAAAGCCAACCCTCCCCAGTTAAAGAAACCATTTCTAAAGAATCTGAAGAAAGGATTTATTTTCCAGAAACATTCAATTTTTATTTTTTTTAAATAGTGTTCTTCAAGCCCTGTGTCTTTCACCATAGTGTCTGTGGCATTTGTCTCCTAGAACTTTCTCATAGAGTGGTATGAAATGAAATTTATTCTTATAGGAAACTATTTAACCTACAAATTAATTCCCCAAAGTATTAAAAAACATACAAAACAATTTCTCAAATTAATTACATACACTAAACCTTGTTGTGCATGTGCATAATAATTATAGATCCACTTTTAACTTAGTGAAGTTTGTCCTTAAAAGTTACTGAGGGAACTTCACAAGGAGTCCAAATGCACAATTGTAGCACTACAGAATTTGTCACACTATTGGTAGAATTTAACAATTATAAATACATTGTTAAGTATATTTAATACATTTTATTGTATTGAACACACTTTAATTTTGTTTAATATATATTCATTGTGTTTAATGCATTTTAAATACCTCTGCCTGAATGTGCAGACCTATAACTCATTTTTATATTTTTAATCGTTTGCAAAAAATACAGGATTTTCTTTTATTTTTATTAGTAATTCACATGGAATTTAGAGTTGAATCTAATGGTATTTATCCCCTGTATAAAACCACACAAAACAGTGAAACCAATGGTGTTGTGCACATCAGAAACTAAAACACAGTATGAAAATCCAGCAGCAGAATGTCACGTCCTTTCAGTGGAATTGGATGTGCCATTCATCCCAAAGCACCATTTCTGCAGTGAGGAAGCTCTAAAATAAGACTTCACGTTCTAATTTATGTCAGTGTGGTACTTACGTGGAGTGTGCACTGCCATTAAACAGGAATCCGTGTGTTCGAGGCTGGAGGGCCACGGGACGCTTGTGCGGAGAGGGGAACAGTGTCAGACTCCTGTCACACCGGGAATTGGCTCCTCACACCGGGAACAGCCCCTCATAACACCGGGAACAGCATCCCTCACAGCGAGAACAGCCCCTCATAACACCGGGAACAGCATCCCTCACAGAGGGAACAGGCCCCCATCCCGGCGGGAACAGCATCCCCTCACAGCGGGAAACAGCTCCTCATAACACCGGGAACAGCTCCTCATAACACCGGGAACAGCATCCCTCACAGAGGGAACAGGCCCCCATTCCGGCGGGAACAGCCGCCCCTCACAGCGGGAACAGCCCCTCATGACACCGGGAACAGCCCCTCATGACACCGGGAACAGCCCCTCATAACACCGGGAACAGCATCCCTCACAGAGGGAACAGACCCCCCTTCCGGCAGGAACAGCCGCCCCTCACACCGGGAGCACCTGTTCCCATAGCACCGGGAACAGGTTCCCCCATACCGGGAGCAGCGCCTCATAACACCGGGAACAGCCCGGGAACTGGCCCCTCACACCGGGAGCACCTGTTCCCATAGCACCGGGAACAGTATCCCCTCAGACCGGGAGCAGCCCCTCATAACACTGGGAACAGCATCCCCTCAGACCGGGAGCACCTGTTCCCATAACAGCGGGAATTGGCCCCCATCCCGGCGGGAACAGCATCTCCTTACAGCCGGAACAGCCGCCCCTCACTGCAGGAGCAGCCTCCCTTCACACCGGGAACAGCTTTCCATCACTGCAGGAACAAGCTCCCCTCACACCGGGCGCAGCCTCCCCTCACACCGGGAGCAGCCCCCCTCACACCGGGCGCAGCCCTTCATCGCTGCAGGAACCATTCCCTCACACCGGGAGCAGCCCTTCATCGCTGCAGGAACCATTCCCTCACACCGGGAGCAGCCCCCCTCACACCGGGCCCCGGGGGTGCCGCTCACCCGCGCTGTGCCCGCAGGTCCCGTCCCGCAGCCCGGCCGGGATCTCCCCGTCCCCACGGCACTGTCCGCGCCGGCAGGAATTTCCGCAGGGATCCCCGCCTGGCTCATCCTCCTCCCCGCACCCCACAGGGCCGATTAACGGATTTAATCACATCCCTTTGGGCTGAAGCTTTGGGTTTCACACCAAATGCCCCCGATACAGCGCCTGTGGCCATTCCTGGGGCTGCCTTCAGCTTCCCTCTAGTGGATCGGCCTAAAACCGCCCTTCCTCAGGCGATCCCGGAGCTTTAGAGCGGCTCCAAACTACAAATACCAGCAGCTCCAGCACCGCTGAGAGGCCCCAGGACCCACCTCTCCTAGAATTAATTTCTCCAGTTTATTGTAGCAAATATTTATAAAGAATTTTATTTTTCACGTATAGCTATAAAAGCCCACGGCAAGCAAAGCATTTTGAAACATTCTCTCTGGCTGAGCTATTTTTTTAGCTGTGTTCTTTAAATTTTTTTTTCTGTGGTGGGTGGCCCTTCCTACCTCATCGCAGAGTGACAGTGGCAGAAGGACCCAGACCTTTAATCCTGTTTCGCAGCAGGTTTAGCAGAGGAGCGGCTGCAGCAGCCTGGAAATGACCATGGAGAAGATCCTGAAGGCAGAGCTGAACACCAACCTCCTGAAGGCGCTGGGGAGCTCTGGGGGAGGATGCATCAGCCAAGGCCAAACGTATGAGACTGACAGAGGACGGGTGTTTGTGAAAATCAACCACAAACCTCAGGTCAATGCCAGCAGATCTTATGATTGCATAGAGATAGCTTTTTATTTTAAAAGCAGCTGGTCGTTAATACTACATAATTGTTTCAGTTCTGAGTTTTCCTTTTAAAGCTGTGTGTATTTTGTATCCAGAATTAATGTAGCAGGTTTGGTTAGTGTGAAATGCAGTGTAATGCAATGTGATAACCCTCAACAGCAGGAATGAGCTGTAACTGCTGTTTAAAAGGAGGCCAAGCACAAAGCTGTTCCTGTGGTACTTGGAGTTTGGAAAAGCCCAGAGCTGACTTTGCATTCACTGCATTCCTTTTCATGTTCCAGTTGGGAGGATTGATAATGGGAGGGCACAAACAGGAGCCAGTGCTAAAATGTACGTATTATCTTTAAAGCTACAGAAATTTCAAACATCCCCATTGCTTTTGGCATTTCTAAAAGTAAAACTCTTGCAGCTTCTCAAGCCAAACTCTTAACTTCTCTACTACTAAATGAATACTCAATTGCTTTTTCTAACACCACAGTGCATCAGAAATTTGCTTTATCCATATCAAAATCATCCTAAACTGCTGTGAAAAACAGCACCTTTGCTTCAAAAATACAGAGCACATGCTGAGTATTTGTGCTGTCATCTCCATCCAGTGGCTTTTGGGGAAAGAAAAACCAATTTAAGGGCTCAATGTTACCTCATTTAGCAGCGGCCAGATTATCCTCAGAGGTGCTGTTGCATCCCCATAGTTTGGGGTCTTCATAAGCAGCTGGAAATCAGGGTGAAATGTGACATATCCTACAACCCTGGAATGAATTTTGGAAAAAAAATAAAAATAAGTTAGGGTTAAGGCCCTTAAGTGTTCCTGTGTGGACTGAAGCCTTACTGCAGCTCTCTCCTTTTATCAAGAGGAATTAACTCTTTGCCACTTTGTCAAAAGTGCTTGGAGACCTCCATAGTTTAGCTCAAGGATATTCTTATTCCTTGACAGGCTAGAAAAATGTTTGAAGGGGAAATGGCAAGTTTGGAAGCCATTCAGAAAACCAATATTGTGAGAGTGCCTCAGCCCATCAAAGTGATTGACCTGCCTGGAGGAGGAGCCATGTTTGCCATGGAGTACCTAAAGATGAAGCACCTCAACAAGTATGTCCATACATCTCTTTTTGCTGTGTTTTGGGACACATTTTTTTAAAATGTTTTACAGTCATCCAGGAAACTTCTTGAGCAGAGTTGCTTTATTCTCTCAGAGACAGAGCTTCTCTCTGTTGAGATCTGTGTTTCTCTGTGTACATATTAAAATATTTATGTGTATGTGTGTGTACATATCTGTATATGTGTGTACACACTCCTTGTCCATAGTTTGCTTTTCCTGCATTAGAAATGGCTGTCACTGCTCATTTGTGTGCTGCTCCACGTGTGCTGAGGTGCTGCTGCACTGAATTTAATCACAGCTGAGTTTGTCTCATCGTTCTCTCATGAGATTTTTTACTGGAATTGCTTTTCCCAGCCCAACAGGTTTCTTTAACCTTACAGGCTGCTTTGGTCTTTGAAACCTCTGCTTGTCTCTGTAGAATCTTCCAGTATGATTTAAGCCATGATTAAGTTAAGGTGACAGGAATCTGCATTTCAGCCAACCTGAACATGGAATTCGGGAGTCATGTGTTGCTGAAAACAGATTTTCAGGAGCACTGCTGTGCTCCAGGCCTCCATTTGGGAACAGTGTCATTCCTGTGGCTCTTCTGGCATCTGCTTGTCCAACCCATCTATTCTATTTGGGACAATAATGGCAATTCCACAGCCTTCACAAACAGGTTATTCTAATCCATCCCACTGTTCCTAGAAGGGATTTTCCAGTGTCTAACCTTAGTCCTTCTGGCTGCAACTTTAAATCCATCATTCCCCCCCCCATTCTGGGCATGGAGAAGAAGTTCGTTTCCATCCTTGAAACTCCTGTTAAGATACCTGTGGAATATTTAACTGGTTTTTAGTTGTCTGCCTTCAGCATTAGGCAGCCTCGACTCAACCCCTGCCTATGGCTCTTTTTCAGACTTACCTTTCAGCTGCTGTTCAGCTGATTTGGAAGGGTGAAGCCCAGCAGGAGATAGCACGTTCTGTTCTCTGCTGATAGTGGGGCTGATAAGGAGGAGCACACCATCCTCCTGCCCTTTCTGTTTATACTTACCTTTCTTGCAAGAGCATTTAGTGTGTTTGCTGTATTATCTCTGTCTCCAGAGCTGTTATCAAGTCATTTGCTCCCTGTTAGGTGCTTGTGAAATTGATTAAGGTTCTATGTTTGCAAAAAATAGTCTTGGTCACATTTAATCGAGGGGTTTTCTTCTGTATAATTGTTCACTTGTTTCAATTTCATTTTGGTTTGTTTGATCCTACAGATACTCTTCAAAGCTGGGGGAGCAGATAGCAGAGCTTCATCTTCATAACCAGAAACTTGGAGAGAAGCTGAGGACTGAGGGAAGCACAATTGGTAAAGCATGGTTGTAATGTACCAATCCAAAAAGGAAACGATTCCTTTGGCTGTGGTGCAGCATTGCTTTCAACTTTCCTAAGTCAAACTGACAATTTGGACTCTGCTTCACTGTCATGTGCTCTCTTAAAATGTTCTTGAGCTTACAGAAATCCTAGTTTTTGCTTGTTGTTGGTTTAGATAATTAATTGATTACAGAATACTGTCCCTTAGTAAATGCAGGAATAAGCTCCCCTTTAAAGATGCTTGGGATTACATTTTTGAACTCTAATAAGTACCAAAATATTCAAAAATTGCTGCTCTTCAAAATGAATTAAAGCATAAATGAAATCAGCTATATAAAGAATTATTTTTTGAGTTGGTACTGTTAAAATTTGAAGTGCCAGTCTGTATCTGTGTTGTTCCCATGACTTCAGAGTGGACTGGGTCTGAGTCTTCGGGGTGGACAAATTATAATCCATTATTTTTGAGTGAAGGCCAAATTACTGGCAGGTCCCAAATAATCTGTGAATCAAACCCAAGCTACATTTAATGACAACATGTCCAAGTGCCAGAAGAGCAGATTTCCTGGTTGTTGCCATGAAATAAATGTAACTTATTGCTTAAAGTTATTTTTCCTGCTTTAAGTTCTGTGTTTGCAAACTTTAGCATGTAAAGATCTCAAATCCCCTAATATTTATTTTGTTCTGTAGGAAAAGGAGCTGGTCACTCTGAGGCCCAGTTTGTGGATAAGTTTGGATTCCACACAGCCACTTGCTGTGGTTACATCCCACAGGTATGGTTCTGTTCCACAGCTGTGAGAGCCAACAGGCACTGGCAGAGGTCTGTGAACTCCTCATACCTGAGCTTGCTCCATTTGTCTGCAGCTTTCTGACCACAGCTTTGCTTTCCCTGTTCCATCCCTGTGCCTGTTCCCTGTGGCCAGCAGGCATGGTGGGTTCAGTGAGAATTTGGAGTGAAGTGGTGGTTCTTTAGCTTGGTGATATTTTAAAAAAATCAGTGTCCCTTCACATACCATATCTTGGTTTTTATTAGCCTCTACTACATGGATCTTGGAGAGCCTCATCATATAATGTCTCATGAGACATTGGAAAGGGCTCTTGGAGATAATTCCACCATTTTCTGGCTCTGCATGTGTCAGGATTTCATTCTACAACTGAATGAACCTTCAGTATCTCAAACTCTTTGCTAAGTACAGCTTTTCACCAAATTAGAAATGTGTTACCCAGTAAAAATGAATGAATACTTCTGCATTTCCAGAAATATTTGAAACAGGACATTGAACAAATGAAATGACCTCACCAGAAACTCTCCTGCTAAAATACATTAAAAACTGGGAATGAATGAAAATAGCCAGAATCTCAATTTATATTAAAGAGAGCCTCACCAAGGTGTGGTGGGGAGCAGCACTCCCAAAACAAAACATCTGATGTTGCTGTGCATTGGTCACACTGACATTGTCCAGGCCATTGTGTCAGCACTGAATGTTTTAACTGGATCTCTCTTATTAACACTGAATGAATGTGTGTTAAAACTGTGTGATGAACCTGGGCTGTATTTTCCAGGTGAATGAGTGGCAGAGTGACTGGCCGTCCTTCTTCATCCGTCACCGACTCCAGGCTCAGCTGGATTTGATTGAAAAAGATTATGGAGACAGAGAAGCCAGAGAACTCTGGTCACAGCTAAAAGTATGAACCATGTTTTAAATCTGTTTTCTAGAGTTTCAGAAAACGTGTATCAGTGGGATTGTAAAGGTGTTTCATAAGGGATTTACCCAGCTTGGAATGAAGAGCAGGGTCTGGATGAGCTTCACAGTGGGTCCAGCAACACTGTCAGCTGAACAGAGTTCCTGTTACTCTTTCAATTTTATAGATAGTGGGGGAAAAAAACCCCTGTAATTCAGCATTAACATTTATTTCTGAGAATACAGCTAGTAATAATAATAATATGGTAAATCCTAAGAGCTTGGTGTTGTGAAGTGGGTGAAATTCTGCTGCCTGGGCAGATTTGCATTTTACCTGGCCCACGCTGAGGATGGTTCAGGCCATGTTCCATGCAGCACTCAGGGAGCACCAGGGATGTTCCCCCTCTCTTCTGTTCATTGGTCCAGATGCTACTGCAGTCCCTTTTGCCATTGAAACTTGTTAATTTAAATGAAATTATATTTCTCATGGCAGCCAAAAGTATCCATGTCTAGAAACAATACATCAGCACCAGGTGTTAATACTAGACTGTGAATTAAATGCTTTGCTGAGCTCTGTCGAGAACAATCCAGAACATTTATCACTGGCTTGTTCATGTTGCCATCAATGTCCATGAGGGCTGAACACAGGCAGCATTTGGCCACCTCAGGCTCCAACATGCTACAGTACTTTATTTTATTTATTATTTTCTTCAAAAGTCTTGTTACATGTCTGTTTGTGCTTTTTCAGCCAAAGATTCCTGAAATGTTCTGTGATGTGGAGATTGTTCCTGCTCTCCTGCACGGGGACCTGTGGGCAGGGAATGTGGCTGAGGACGACTCTGGGCCGATTATATTTGACCCTGCCTGCTTCTATGGCCATTCAGAATTTGAGCTGGCCATTGCTGGAATGTTTGGGGGGTTCAGCAGCTCTTTTTTCTCTGCCTATCACAGTAAAATACCCAAAGCTCCAGGGTTTGACAAACGGAACAAGTTGTATCAGCTCTTTAATTACATCAACCACTGGAACCATTTTGGGACAGGGTACAGGGGCTCTACCCTAAACATGATGAGGAAACTTCTGAAGTAACCAGCTAATTTGAGAAATTCTGACACAGTCCCCTAGGAATGAGCGGCCCCTGCTCATCCCAAGTACTACAAACTCAGAATTGAGGGTAAAACACCTGACATGGGGAAGGTTTAATGCACTTTGAGCCTCACTAACTAAGAGCAGCTGTCTAATCTTTAACTTGGGCACTAGTTTTCCACACAGATTCCTCCCTGCTGGAGGAAGGGGCTGCACTGTTTGCCAAGGCTCCGCCGGCCTGGAGAGCAGCACGACAGTCAGCCTGCCCTTGCTGTCTCACCTCGGGGCTGCTGTGCTCCCACAGCTGTTCCACAGCAGCATCTTCCCAGTCCTGCTGCTGCTCCAGCAGCACTTTGTGATGGAGAGCTGCAGTTGTGGGACAGTGCTGCTGGAAACAACTTCTTGTGTCTGCCCTTGTTAGTTCTGGTTTTGTCTTCTGTCTGTTCCCAGCCCTTTCCCCATGGATATTTCCATGGTCTTCTGTTTCCCTTTCCTTTCCTTTATTTTCCCTGTCAAATGTCCTAATCCAAAATTTCAGTCAGATTCTGTGAATCTGAAAACATTCTCTGTTTAATTTAATGAGCAGACAAGGCCCTTTGGCTGCATTTGGCAAACAGATGTAATTAATAATATTTCTAATATTTATTTTAAATTTAATGTCATTTACTCACATTCATTTTTCCCTTGCTATAATAACTGAAATTCCAGAGGTATTTTCTAGAAGGATGTTTAGTTCCTTGGTAATTAACTGTCCATTCAGAAGTAGGTTATTACCACTCAAAGTTGATATTAGCATTTCATCATTTTAGTGTGATATTTCAGTGTGTTGTACTACAATAGTAACATATTTAAATAACTTTATAAAAAGACAGCGAAATGTGGGAGGGAGCCTCTGTGGCTGGGTGAGAAGAAGCACCTGTGGCTGCTGGGTGGGCTGGTGCTTGATGTATTTTCAATTTTAGAAAACGAGTGCAGTGGGCAAAGCTGGTCTGTTGTGCCACCACTGGGTTATGGAAGGAGCAGTGTCAAATCTGATGGATTTGTAAGGGGTTTTATTGTTCCTTACTGCTTTATTTTTAAAGAAAACACAGGCAGTGGGAATTTGGGGAGAAAAGTGTTCAGCAAAGATACTGGTGCACAATCTGAGCTAGAATACATCAGTGACTCTGGGGGGTTTTAATGGAAGTGGCAAGGAGAGTAAAAGTAAGTGCAGTCCCACAAACATGAATTAGAAGATTTGGGTAAGAATGACCTGAATATTCAGACTTCAGATGGTTGGCATGACTAACACTAAAATATTATATTCAAAGTTGCTCAGATATATTTAGACTTTTCTCAACTTTAAATGGTTGTGCTATAAATATTTAATTAAGTTTAAAATTTGATGTTGTAATTGGTTTAAAACAATGCACTTTGCTCTCTGTAAATATGATACAAATAGTGAAAAACTTTTGCTTCCTTTGAATCAGGGGAATGTTGGTTTTAAGCCACAGTTGGTTGTAAAACTTAACAGAACTAAAGCAGTGGAAAAGTGGAACAGCAGAATGTGGGATTGCAGCTGATGGCTGAAAGATCTAGGTCTGAGCAAAGTGCATGTGCACTGGTGTTTGTGGGTGTGAACAAACCAACCTGTGTCACACTGGGAACTGCTTGAGAATCAAACTTCTTCTCAAATAAAGCACCTGCCTTGCAGAAACCTGGTGTTTGGTGTTCATGTGGTTTGTGACCGTGGTTTGATGGCATGAGTTTGAGCCTGAAAATAAAATATTTGGGTGTGGATGGAGCTGCTGGATGGCAGGAAAGAGCAGCTTACCTGTTGTGACACCCTTGAATTCCTGTAGGCTCAGCGGGGCTGCAGTTGCAGCTCTCAGGGTTCCAGGGTTGTTTCCAGAGCTGTGTGAGGTTTGGGTGGTGTGTTGTGGTGTTAACCATGCGCTGCAGTGTTCTGCTGTGGGTTGGGTAAGGAATGGAGGTCAGGGATAGTGGCACCGTCCAGCTGTCCCACACACCTTGTGTGCTTGTCCCCGTCCTTGTCCTTTGTCCCTGAGGTCCCTGTGCCCAGCTCCCAATCCCTGTTCCCTCACCTGAGGGTCCCTATCGCCATCCTCACCCAGTGCTTGGGTGCCCAAGCCTGCGTCCCCATCCTTGTCCCATCCCTGTCCCATCCCCAGGACCCATAGCTGGTGTCCCCCAGGTGGATGTCCCCATCTCCAGCCTAGATGTTCCCATCCCTGGTGGGTGTCCCCAGGGTGGGTGTCACTGTCCCCGGTGGGTATTCCCAAACACCACCATTCCCGGTGGGATGTCCCCATCCCCGGTGGGTGTCCCCAGGCCGTGTCCGCCCCCCCATCCCTGGTGGGTGTCCCTGGGGTTGTGTCCCCACCCCCTGCTGAGTGTCCCCATGGCCAGCAGGTCTTGTTTCCACTGGGTGGCCCTCGGCTGGACGTCCCCATCCTCAGTAATTGTTCCCGTCCCCAGGGTGGGTGTCACTGTCCCCGGTGGGTATTCCCAAACGGGATGTCCCCATCCCCGGTGGGTGTCCCCAGGCCGTGTCCGCCCTCCTCTCTTCCCCACTCCGCGGAGGGGCCGGGCCAGCGCTCGGAGGCGGCGCCGCCGCCTTTGGTCCCTCCTGGCGGCCCGTAGCTGGGCGGCGGCGGCGCGGGGCGGGCCCGGGGCGGCAGCGGGCGCCTGTCCCGCGTGGTCGCTTGTCCCCGGTTATCGCCTGTCCCGGGTGGTCGGGCCGCGCCGTGCCGGAGCGGCGAGGGCGGCAGCTGCGGGAGCCCCGCGGTGCGGGCCGGCGGCGGAGGCCGGTAGGGCCGGGCGGGGCCGCGGGAGGGGCGCGCTGGC